AATCCACAGACATATGAATTATATAGAGAGCTATTTTCAAAATGTACACACATGCATATAGAGGTATAAAGTACTGGTTTTATTTGTGTCTATCCCTCTACATACATTCCCAAGCTCTACAGGACTATATATATAAAGACGTGTGAATCTATACATAGGTGTAGGGTATGTAAAAAGGGAAAGGTGTGAGGGACCATGTCTGTGCATATACATATATACATGTGTGTGTGCATGTTCACATATAGCAATCATGTATTTCATATTTGTATCCCTGTAGATATATACATTCCACAGGTATCTACAAAGATATGCATATGTGTGAGTCTGTGTGTGTAAGCATTAGAGATACATACATTATATCACATGTATGGGGCAGATATACAGACATATTCCCCCATCTATATGGATAAATGTACATATAAAATTGCGGGGACATCCTGTATAAAAATACACTTATGTATTTTATTGTGTTTGTGTAGAGACAGAGAGATATATACACAGGTATATGGTACTGTTTGTAGATGTATATCCCCATAATATACATTGAGAGACATTAAAAGGGGGAGGTAATATAATTTTATATGTATAATATGTATCATTGGTGTTATGTATAATGTACTATATGTGCATATCCTTACAGCTGCAGTCCCTGTGTATGTACACACAAATTTATACACGTGTGTATATCTGTGTATGTATACTTACATATGTGGGGATGTGTTCAAGGAGAGAAAGGGAGTATTGTGTGTTCCATGTATCAAAAGTCCATCTGTCTGTAGCTGTATTTTACAGGGGACTCTTCATCCATGTACACATCGCCTGCATGTCTACAGAATGATTGTGTGCAAGAGATTCTGTGTGTGTGTGTGTAGTGAGCAGGTATATACAGGCATATCCTATTTATTTACAGATGTGTATACATATATACACAGGTCCCTTGATATTAACCCCCATTACACAAATAGCAATGAAGATATAGCCAAGTTCTCAAGTAAAGTTACAATGTATTTTTAATATATATTTGTATATAAATACATGCATCTTATAAATAAATATACACACATAGAGAGGTGGGACCTTTTTATTTAGTAATAAATAATTGTATATATTGAAGGGGTGAGTTATGTATTAGAGTGTATATGTGTGTGTATATACACGTGTGTGTGTAAAAGTTCTGTATGGAGCTCATGTATGCACATACTGCCCATATCTGTATAGAGACATCTAACCATTATGTGTATCAAAAAGGGAGGGGGGGAGATAGACTCATGTCTGTAGCAGTGTATCCTCCAGAACATGTATGTGCCTGTACATAAGGTGTACAGCTGTGGTTGTGGATTTCTCAGTACCCTGAATGCCTCTGTGGATCTCTAACAAGGTGTGTGTGTGTGTGTACACACACCTCACTGGCTCTGGGAACAGCTATTACATGTAACATGTGTGTGTCTCTGGGTGTGCAAGTGTGGCTGCAGTGTATCCTGACACAGACACTGTCCCTGAATGCACACATGGTGACAAGTGTGTGCAGTGTGTGTGCATGTACATGCAATCTATTATATGGACACACACACACAAGCTCCCCATACCTGCATGGAGGAGCCTCTGCAGCTATAGATTATATGGATTTAAACTGGGCCAGGCACATCTTTGTAGGTGCAGATTGTATTAAAGATGTATACACCCCCCATATTAAACTTTGCTGTCTATAAAAGGGTGTTTGTATATAATTTAAAACATGTATAAAGGTTGGGGGTGTCAGGTAGAACTATACATGTATTATATGTACATCTTACATTATTTGATGCACGTGTTAGATGTATAGTCCTGTATATACATTCCAGATTTTTATATACACTCCATAAGACATAAATAGTCATACACAAAGGTAAGTATACATGTGTGTAATTGTATAGTCTATTTAAAGAGTAACAATTACATTTTCAAAGGGGGAGAACAACAACTGTCCTATAGCTAGTACATATATATGGTTTTATATATGCATAGATGTGCACAGACACACACACAGATATGTCTGTAGAAAATGTACATGTGTATGTACAGGTCTAATGTATTACATATGGGGCTTGTATATATACATGCACAGATACAGCTCTTCCCCATATCTGTGTGCTTAAATCTGTAAGTAAAGATTATGTATAAAATGAGGTGGGTGAGACTGTGTAGACACACCTATGTATTACATGTATGTGTGTCTGCACATGTATAGAAGAGAGGTGTTTGGTATTATATATTGATATGTATCTCTAGATCCCCTTAATATACTTGGGAAGCTGTAAAAAGGTACATGTAGATATGTGTGTGTGTGTATATTTACATAGATGTGTACATAAAATTATTAAAAGGGGGAGGGGTTGTTCACGTATAGGTAAAATGTATTCTGTATATCCCTATAACAATGTTCCCCAGCCATGCACACAGTGAGAAATCTATGCATTTATATTTAAAGGTAAGTATCCTTGTGAGTGAAAGCACAGGTATGTTCTATTTTTAGTTAGTAATTCTATGTATTTAAAGGGAAGGCATGTATTATTAGTCTGTATAGTCTATGTATGTGTACTGTATCATATATGGAAACTCCATAGTCTAAAGATGTGTACATAAATAAAAAAATATATAAATAAAATATGTCCATGAAGTTCTGGCATGGTCTGCCCAGGGAGGTGGTGCAGTCACCAGCCCTGGCTGTGTTTAACAAAGCCTGGATGTGGCACTGGGTGCCAGGGTTCAGTTGAGGTGTTGGGGCTGGGTGGAGTTGATCTGAAGGTCTCTTCCAACCTGGTGTGATAAATAGCTGTGTAACTACAGAGACAGGGTCACGTACAGCTGTCATCTCTTACGTACTTATCTAGCCAGTAAACATACATACACATACAGAGAAGTATGTACACATTTCTGCAGAAAGGTAGAGGGGTTGTGTATATTTTATTTAGTGGTAGACAGCTGTTTGCCATTCAAGGGGGCACTGTATCTGTGTGTGTATAACAGAAGGTCTGCGTACAATGTATTCTATATGGGGCTATACAGACATAGCTCATTTCTGTATATAAAGACCATGTGTATATAAAGAGGGGTGGGGCGGGGGTGAGAGCCTGCATCTCTGCACCTGTGTATTGTATGCAATACATGTGTGTGTGCTCATGTATGTATATGCAGTTATGTGGCATTAGGTATGGCTGTGTATGGCTGCCTATAGAGCCCCAGCATATATACAGCAGATACAGAAAAGGCATGTGTGCATAATTTAAACACTGTCTCAAGACAGGGGCCGTGAATGTGTAGGTATAAAGGTGTGTGTATCTGTGTCTGTATTCTAGGCACACATGTGTACACCCACATACAGAAACACAAGTCCAGTGTGGAGGGGGGTGCTGCATGCTGTTGTAGCAGTAGTTGATTCCAGGTATTTAAGGGTGACCATGGCCTATAGGTACCTATTGCCTGCACACATGCAGGGAAAATGGATTGCAGAAAGAGCTCCTTATGCACACACAGACACTAGCTCTAAACCTCTAGGTGCTGGTGTATACACACACATATACAGGCATACAGTGTATCCCTATAGACAGATCTGGGGCTAGAGAAAAGGGCTGTGTTACTGAATATCTATTTATATATAATATACATACACCTGTGTGGATGAGAGGGGTCTGTGTGCTTTGTGGCGAGATGGCTTGGTGTCCATCACCGTAGGTACAAAGCGCTGCAGGTGAACTGGCTCTAGCTCCGCCCGGGCTCTCAGCCGCCTCTGTGCTCTGTCCCTGCAGACAGCGGAGTGCCCGAGGCCGCCCTCTGCGTGGTGACCACGGCCGCCATCGACGTGCACCGGCCCAACGCCTCCTCGGAGCTGTTCACGGTGGAGGTGCCGCTGCGCCTGGGCAGCGCGGGCACCTCGGCCAGCCTCACGTCGGGCAGCGCCTCGCGCTCCACGGTCAGCTCGGGCCCGCGGGGCTGCAGCGAGAGCAGCCAGACGCTGGGCTCGTCCCCGGACTGCAGCGCGGCCTGCGAGGAGCCGCGGCCCGAGGCCGTGCCCGCCCGGCAGCGCGCGGCCCAGGCCGCCGTGCAGGAGCTGCTCTCGTCCCTGTCGGAAGAGGCGCGCCTGGCGCAGAAGGGGCTGGATCCCGTCAACCTGAAGCTGCCCAGCCCGGCCGGCTCGGTGGGGGCCAGCCCCGACCTGGGCCACCGGCTCAGCGTCTACAACCGCAGGAACCAGGAGAGTCTGGATGTCTTCCAGCTCAAGCCGCTCCTCGACTGCCCCCAGGGTGCCCCCACGATTGAGGAGAAGTACGGGGCGCTGGGGCCCCCAGAGCCACGGCTGGGCAGGGTTCCTGAGGCATAGGCTCAGGGGGCTCCTGTGGGGACACGCTCACCTCGCTGGCCCACGGGGCTGCCACGGCTGGGGCGGCGGTGCTGAACACAACCTGCAGCCTGGGCACGGCCAGCATCGCCTCTGCTCCCCAGCGCCGGCGGCTTGCGACCCTCCTGCCCTGCCACCAGCTCTGGCCAGCTGGGACCTACAGGGGCCATCTGGGAACAATGGACCTTCCAGCAGCCCTAGGGCAGTATGGACTCACGGGGCCTGGAGGGACAAACAGACTGTGCCGGGCACACCGTGGAACTTCCACCAGTCCAGGGCCAGCACGAGCCCCACAGCGCTGGGGCAGGACGGAGCTGCTGGACAGCTTGGGCCCAGCCTGACCCTGCCCAGGGGCTGAGCGTGACTGGGAGGGGTGTGGAGATGGGAATAAACACTGACAAACACAGCCAGCCTCCTGCCTGGTATCGCTCCTGCCTTCTTCTCTTACCTGCTTTCCCTGTCTTGCATTCTTCCACCCCACCGCTCCACGTGCCATGCAACTGACCACCAAAAAACCCCCCCACAAAAAACAACCATCCCAACACCGCAGTGACTGACCCCACCTCTTTCCAGTAAAATCCTTTATTTGCCCTTACTCCACAGTGCCGGGTCCCGTCACCAGCGCTCACTTCTTCTTCAGGAGCTTCGTCATCTCTGGCACCGCCTGCAAACACCAGTGCCAGGGTAGTGCACGTTCCCCTCTGACCCCCACACACTCGCCCTGTGCAGTTCCCAGCCCTGCAATTACACTGCCCACCCTCCCAGCACAGCACTCCAGGCTCACAGCACTCCCCACTTCTCTCCTGCTGAATAAAGCCTCTTAATTATTTAAGAGAGCTACATTTCCATTAGGTGGAAATAATGCATTCGTACAAAATTTATTAAGGAAATTGTCTACATGGTGTTTCTTCAGAATGTGACTTTGTCCCTGGCTCACAAAGAGGCCCGTGCTCACCACGGAGCCAGCGGGCATTATTTCAGGAATGGCATTAAGTGCTGGCAGAGTGTCTGCCCGTGCCTCCACAGACATGACACTCCCGCCTCTCACACGTGTGGCCACACACAGGCCTGGGACAGGGCGGGCTCGGAGCTCCAGTGGGAACTGCAAGCTCCTCCTGGGCATCAGGCAGTGAGGCAGCAAGCCCAGGCACAAACAGGCACACCTCCTGCCAACTCTCTACTGCCAAACTTTATGAAGCTTTAAAATGTACACAGCACCTATGGGTGGTTATTTCCAAAATGGTTCAACCTCAGGACACTGGAACTGATGCAGGCTGACTGTGACACCCCCCACCCCAACACAACCTACTTGCAGGGATTTGATTTTAAGCATGCAAATCATGACATCAGAAAGCAAATTTTTAAACAACAACCCAAACACGCTCACACAGACATCATTAACTCTCATGAGTTTGTATTATGTAAGCTCCTGTCAGCTCTCCCAAAGTTACCCTGCACATCAAGTTTAGCCTCACCTGAAATAAGTCTGCTACCAGTCCATAGTCTGCCACTTGGAAAATGGGAGCTTCTGGATCCTTGTTAATAGCAACAATGGTCTGCAAGCAAAGGTAAAGCACCATATGAATCTAGGTATTGATCATCCTTGGGGGCTGGATTACAGGCCAGGTCTTAGCCAGGAAATGGGCTATATTCTCTCCAAGGCCCCAGAAGTGGAAAAATATTAAATGCCCAGATAAATCTTCTATCTCAAAAACAAGCACCTCCTTCCCTCCACACAGACCACAGTTCCCCTGAAAAAAAGAAAAACCAACCCCTCCCTTCCCTGCTCATCATACACATCTCTGCTATCTTTCCCTGTTGAAAAAGGTAGAAAAAAATTACTACAAAGGATTATCTGCACATTCTAAGCTGCACCACTCCAGAACTAACATGGAGGCAGCAGTTACAACAAGCACAATAAACCCTGCCCAAAGGCCTCTGTACTTACAATGGGACAGCTTTTAGTTTGTCACACAATAGAAAACAGCACAACAAATCCCAACACAATGATCCAGAAAACGTCTTGGTTTAATAAACCCTGCCCTACACTGAATCATCCTTAACTGCCTGTGACAGCTCCCAGCAAGATAAGCATGGGGGGTGTCCTCATCAAAATCTGCAACAGGATGGGGAGCACTCCACAGAGGAGGGAGAAGGTTCCTGAATAAACCCAGCAGCTCTCAGGAGGAGCCTGACAGCCAGAAGGGGCCTGGAGCACAGCACTGGGGCAGTGCCTGCCCTCCACACCAACAATGGTTTGGGGCAGCTCAGGCACACACTGCCACACCAGGGAACCCCCCACGGGCTGCTCACTCCCTGCACTCAGCCCAACACAATCATGGCTCAGTAAGCAGGGCCCAGTGGCAGTAACTCAAAAAGAAACCTTCACAAATCCTGTGGTTTTAGGCCCCCAGAAATGTTATTTGTTGGCTGTTTGTCCCCCGAGCGTCCCTGTAGAAGACCCCACCCCACATGCAAGCAGGCAGTACCCAGAGCCCTGCCCCAGCTCATAGCCAAGGACATGCAAGTGCTGCAGCAATGCTGCCCTTGAAATGTTCTCCCCAGAGCTCTACTCTTTTACAGAGTTTTACTTCAGTTCCCCCTCTCTGCAAATGCAAGCCTCCCCAGACAAGCTGCAGGGCAGGAGGCAAATCCAGGCTGTGGTCCCTGAGGGTACTGGCCCAGTAAAGACTTTTCTGACCCTTCTGAGGCCCTGCCATTCCTTGCAGAACCATCCACAGGGGCTGATGCTGAAGCCCAGCCAAGCCAGCACCACAGGGGCTGCCAGCTCTGTCCTTAGCACAAAAATAATTAACAAATTGCTTGCAAAACTGTCTGAAGCTTTAGTTTGGCAGCTTAGTCCTTCCTCTACCTCCTTTACCTGAAGTGACTTCAGTAAGATTTGGTTCCCTACCTCATTGCTAACTCAGGTAGCAGCAAAAGCACCACCCTGCCCACAACAGAACTTTGTGAGTTAATCTCTGAGTAAAAAAAGATAGGGGAACTCTCATGAGGGAATTAGAAATAAGCAAAGAAAGCAACAACAACTTTTCAGGTCTCCTCAAAAGCTGCATTTTCTACCTTGCTGTAAAAGAACAAATAAATTATACATTTCACTTGGTAGTAAGCATCTGACTGCTTTGGAAAACATATCCTGAAGTGTGCAAATTCACAATGCCAGATAATTAAGAGTGCTGAGGGAGGACAGGGGACACTCCAGAGAGCTCCCATGGCTGCAGAATTCTTTGTTTGGGAAAACGATCTTCTTCATAACTACCCCACCTAAATGCTTTACCTAAAAGGAAGGCAGAACACATTCCACATACCAATAACTAAATCTGAATTTTACAACAGACACATTAGCTTACACTAAAAAGCTCAGATATGGGAGAAATTGAAGGGTTAAATAAGCATCTCATATGAACAAATTTCATCTGTCATTATTTCTCACAGCAGAATACCTCAAAATATCAAACATGCCTTTGGAAAAGCCATAAAAGCAGAGGTTTTGTTGTTACAGTACAAGATAATGTCACTGCTCAGTGTTTTTGTAACAAAAGAAATTCTGGATCAAGGCAGAAGTTCCCAGTGCTGCTGGCAGCCTTAACTGAGATGAGGTAGCAGATAAACACCAAGAGGGTCACCTGGAGTCTGACACAGCTTCCAGTATCCAGCTCTCAGGCAGTGGCTGCTGCTCTCCACAGCTGCCCCTCTCCTCACTCAGCCAAGGGCACAGCTGGAGACTGAATGCTCCAGACAAAGGCACCTGTGGCCAGCAGTGCCAGGGGAGCCCGGGGGCCCTGGCAGCAGTGCCGTGCCTGCACTCTCCCTCTGCTGCACTGCAAGCAGGAATGTGGCAGAGACTGTAGCACTGCTGCCCACCAAAGCCCTTGGGAATACCCTGCCACAATTCCCACTTCTCAGGAGACACCTTCACCCCTGCCCATCACACACCCTTAACATCTTGAATTTTGGTTGGTTTTTTTTCCAGTACATCAACTAATACTAACACCACTCAGGTCCCTGCTTTTAGAAAGCTTAGCATTTCCCTCCAAAATATTTATATAATACATGAGAAAAAGGAATGGTCAGAAAGCAGAGATCATCCTAACATGCAGGCTGGTTTGTGAGGACAATTACCAGTCACAAACTCACTGGTCTGTCACTGGTTAAACACAAGAAACTACCTGAAAAGTCTTGCAACCCTTTTCCTCAGCTTTGTAAGCTATTCAAAATTGTGCCTTGGTTAAGTTCATTCTCTGAAAATAGAAAAAAAAATACATAGCCTTTTGAAAGAATTACTGTGGGAGGCAGGACCTCCAGTTTTTGATGTCTGCCATTTGATAGTATCAATCAGCAGGTAACTCTGCTCCTCTTCTCAAACACTGCACTGTGGGCCAAACTGGCAACTCCAATTTAGGATTATTTGCTTTGGCAGCCAATGAGTTAAACCTTTTAAAGTTTTACTGCCGTTTTATTGCAGGTTTCCATTTGAATGGCTAAATGCAGGAATGTCAGAGACATCTTTTACTTTATGGAATAGTAAGTTCATAATTCAAATTGTGCATTGTTATGCATGAATTAATATGTCATAGTCTGGAATAAAGGCAAATGGAACTATGGTATAGAATTCAGGCATATGTGCTTTGGGTTGGGCTTTTTTAAGCAAAGTCAATTAGCTGCTTCCACTGATCACTTTGGGTTGTAGTGCAAAGGTTTTTCTACTCCATGAGATGTTTTGCCACAGTATCTTTTTTTGTCAAAGAGTGTTTTAAAGCAGCAGGAAATGCAGAAACCATCTAAAGCACTGATGCAAAAGCAAGGGAGTCAGCTCACTTCCTTTCTCAGAAATCTCTTCTGGCACATCCACCTTCACATACCTTGCTGTCTTTCATTCCAGCCAAGTGTTGGATTGCTCCAGATATTCCCACAGCAATGTAAAGTTCCTAGGAAAAAACAAGAGAGAGACGTTTTTGGTCACCACACCACAGTCTCACTCAGCTCTCACAAACCTTAATCCAAATCAATTACATGCAGCAGTTTTTACATTACAGTAGTTTCCAATACTAAAGGCAGCTGATGTTTGGTTCCCTTCCCCACCTGGGGATGCAATGTGACTGCAAAAGGAGAATCCCAAAGGAGCATCTAGCAAAGACAGATTAGGGGAAAAAAATAAACAGAGTCTGCATCAAAAACATATGACACTGCTCAGCTAAAGGCCAGAGCAATCCATGTTCTCCAGACCCTGGAGATTCCCAGTGCAAATATTTAGGAAGATAACCCAGAGATGGATAATGCAGCTCTGAAGAGCAAACCATGGCTCTTCTTCAAAGCCCCCCAGAGCCTTTACCTAAGATAGAATGCTCAAACTGCAATTCAGGTGTTAGGCTTTGAAAGGTTCCCCAAAGAGCAGGATGAACCTTTGGGGGCTGGTGCCCTGCAGACCTGAGTTTGTGTTCCTCACCTCAAGCCTCCCTTCCCCACTCCCACACGGGAGGAGTGCAGAGGCACACCAGCCACACCAACAGCTCTGCACTTCGGGGCTTGCAGCTTCACATCTCCAAAGAGTCCCACAGTCAAAAGAGATTGCAATTTCCAGGTAAACAGATCTGTGTCATCTGTTTTATGTCAGCTGAAAACTGTTACTTCTCCTTGGGCTGAAAGTCATCCAGTCTATCATCTACCCAAAACCAAGGGTACTTCAGGGCCCTGACAGTTCTTCCAGACAGAGCTGAACTCTGTAGCTAACTAATGTTACAGAAGAAAACTAAAGAAAGCACTTTTCACCAACTCATTCAGTAACAGAAAATTAACACATAAATTTAGTTAGGGGCTCATCTACCAACAGCAGTCAAAAGGTGGTATTCACATGTGCTTATAGAAGACACAGCCCCAAATACTAACATAATTTCTCTTTTTAAAATACCAAGGGTATTACATATCTAAGAAAATATAAATCTAATTTAACTCAATAAATAATATTGGGAGGCCACGGGGAGGGCAAGAGGGTCAAAACCAATCTTACTACTGTGCAGCTGAAACTGCATTACAGTTGAGTGGCTTTTAGCATGGCAGAGCCAAGCCCAGCTGTGGGACATGCACAGAGCTACCCAGGAGAGTGGCAAACAAAGGTGCTCAAACACAGACCCACAGAGGCTTCTGCCACACAGGCCTCAGAGTCATTACATCAATTAAAGAAAAAAATGCTTTCTGATGTTTCTCCAACCACAGATTCTGCTCACTGTGTTTGGTGTTTTTTGGTTTTTTTTAATAGGAATAGAGAAATTAAATTTATGGAGTTTTTCTGTATTTTTATAAAAAAACTCTCTAGCGTAAAAACTGAAGGGGAGGGGAAATAAAGCAGAAACAAAGTATTTCCTATCAAAAAGGCTTCCTTTGAAACATGGAATCTAGTCCATGTACTTCCACAAAACCACACAGCTGGTGAACACACTCAGAAACTCCTTGGCCTCAGCAGGCTTTTACCAAGTGGATTACTATTGGAGGTCAATCCATTTTAACCACAGCTGCAATGTAACCTAATATGTCCACATTAGAACTCATGGCAAGAATGCAATATTTTAATTATACCAAATAAAAGAACAGATGTTACAGGAGAAATTATTCTAACATCATGCTGTCTTTAATACAAGTTCTTTTTAAAGACACATTACCGTAATTTGATTTTTTTTGAGAGCAATTCATTAAGTGCCAGTCATCCAGACTACCAGATACTCTTATCAGTCTGCTTAACATTGTGAAGTTCAATCTTTGGAAAGAATCCAGCTAACCAGGAGCCAGATGCCTATGAATATATTCTATTAAAATATCTAGGAAAGACAAGGATGTTTCATTAAAAGGACATTTGTAAATCACCAGGCTTGTCTAAAAGCACTTATTATGCATCCAGGCCATGGCCTTCTAGGTTATGTGCTTTTGGCTCCCTGGCTCAGACAAGTGGTCCTGCCAGTCAGCTCTAACCCTGACAGGAGATCACCTCAGCAATGTTTCCACAGAGAGTGCACAGGACAGCAGGGTTCTTAGCAACACTTCTGTGCTGGCAAAGGGACAGGACTGCTGAAATCTTAGTTTTAATCTATTCTGCAGTTCAGTAGGAGGGACCCAAAGGAACCACAATGTCTAAATGATAAAGCTTCAGGACTGTTCACTGCTGTCCTGAGAAGAATTCAACTGGTCATCCAGAGAGGACATAAAGCACTGAGAAATTCAAATCCTTATTTATTTTCAGAGTAATAGCCTTGTTTTGATGTTTTCCCTGAAATCACCAAGTTCTGTCAGGCCTTCTGCTGAGTCCTGCCATTGCTGTGTCAAAGCCCCAGGTCAGGACTGTAGCCCCACGCCCTGTGAAGCAGGGGAGGCAGGGAGGCAGCTTTGAAGGGCTCCCTTGCAGAGGGTGCTGGGCCATGGCAGCGGGCTCTGCAAGGAGCTCTGGGTCCCTCAGAGCTCCCCTGGCCAGGACACCCAGGCAAGGCACAGAGCAGATGCACCCGAGCCTGGGGCACACCTCTCAGGGGCAGACATGGCTTTACACCAACGTCAAGTTCCAGCTTTTTGGAACCCTGGAAGTTGCTCTAATTACTGCTGCCAGGCAGTAATTAGAGCCCCCAGTTACAGGCACTTACAGCAAAGTCCAGGACATGGAGCAGCATTTGTCAACTCCCTAGAGCTGGGCACAGGCAGATTTCCACTGAAGGGCTGCTGCCAGCACTGGGCCACACGAGAACAGGCAACAAAACAGCACACACATATTCCAGAGCAAAGGGTTCACAGCACTGTGAACAAATGAAGTGCCAAAAGCAACTGAAGTCAAGGAAGTAAACGTTTTGGTGGTGTATGGACAGGACATCAGCTTAGAAAATTGTCTTGGCTCCCAGTAACTTCATTTCACACAGGAAATACTGTACAAACATCACAGCCATGCCCCAAATACTTTTATGCAGTTGCTGGCAGACATCAGTACAGGGAAAGGACACCAGAGAAGAGAGCTGATGGCAAGGAGGAGCAGGATGGAGGGAACACATGGCACTGAATGCACCAAACAGGCAGGACTCTGCAAAGCAGAGCACAGGCAGGCGCCAGCACTCCAGATGTGCTGCTGGGAGGGCTCAGGGCATCAGCAGTGGGCAGATGTGGAGGGGGTCACCAGCACCCACGAGGCTTCTCCCAAGGGCCACAGCAGCAAGACGAGGTGACTCTGCCAGCAAACAGGCACAGAGGCCAAGGGGCTTCCATTTGTCCTGCACAGCACTGGTGCAGGCAGGACTCTGACACAGACCTCCACGTTTGTAAGCACAAAAATGTGGCATCACAACCACCCCAAAAACCCCCCCGAACTCCAACTCCCAAACTGATCCTATTCAAAGTCAGGATTCCAAATCAAAAATCCACTTTCTCAGTTGCTAGTTATTCATCTAGACTTATATTTTTCCAACAGAAATTACCATGGTATGTCTTTGAGTCATTACATGCTAATCATTAAAATGAAAAAAAAAAAAAAAAAACCTCCTTGGCCATTCCCTAAACTCTATTTCTGCTTCAGACATACCCAGCCCATTCACTGGCAGACTTCACATGCACAAACCTGCACACCTGGCCCCAGAATCCATACAGCCAGTTACATGCTGTTTGGACAAATGCACAGGAGTGCTGTATGTGGATGACTGCAATTACCAACATACCAATGCAGTTATTTTCCTGTGCATACAGACTCCTGCAATTATTTATAGAATAATTTGTGCCATATGATATTACTTCATTTATACTTACGAGAATATTTAAATATGCCTTCGGCTGCCTTAGGGCAGTTAAGGGACATTTGCTTAAGAGAACTACCAGAACAGTTTTTATTTCAACTCCAGAGCCTTTGAATGGTGCTGGGACAGCCCACAGGGCAGCCACAGGTGCTCCACAAGCTGAGGTAACTACTTTGCAAGCATGTTGTCAGCTGCTATTGATTTTTATGACAATTTCTGAATTATGCTGAAAAACCCCAAGACACATCAATTTATCATCCTACCACTGGCATGCTTTTAAACAGGCTGGTTTAATAAACCCCTGTGGCATACACACTATTTTTAAAGGCAGCTCAGATATTTTATTTTTTCTGCAAGAGTGAAAGGACAATGAAATTAGGAAGAAGTATTTGTGATCAAAATTGCTTTGTACAAGAGATTCCTTTCACTTACAAGCTATTAGGCCAATAAAATATTTTCTGGCTTGACAGGAGTTCATGCCTATTGCACTGTACATCACACACTTCTCCAGTATGTACAGCTTTGGTGCAGCTGAACCCACTCCATTCAGGAAGCACACATCACTAAACTAGAGCCCAACTGCAGTTTCTTTTTCACTTTAAGACCCTTTGATCAGCCAAGCTGTGTAATTACTCTTAAGCGTGGCTAGGGTGTCTGCTGGAGTGCAGGGCCATACAGCAATTTTTTTCCCCCTCTCTCCAGGGAAAAGCACATCAATTGCTTTCAGCTAAATGCACTCACATATGAATATTTTAGTACAATTTAATGTTTCTGCACCAACCCCAAAGGAGCAGAGCATCAATTTGTGAACATAGTTTTCTTGGAGTTAAAAGCTACACTGGATAATGCAGGATGAAAGGGGTTGTCAATCCTTAGCTTTTTAGCAAGTCAGAGAAAGACAGTCTGTAAATCCAGTCCCAGCTGCATACAAACAGCTCTCTAAAGTTTGCCACCATAAAGCTACTTTTCAACAATAGTGAATTATCAGAGGAGATATTCCAAAAACATTTACCCAAGCACAGTTGGTTTTCCCAATGCTATTCCCACCTGCCACCTACCTAACAGCCCCAACCATTTATACCATGCAAAGTGCACCTGCAGGTCTGTCAATAACACCCAAAACCTGATGTACAAATAACACACTCCTACAAGGCACTGAGCTGAGCAGAGCC